TAACACATTTATTGAATACAAAACAAATAGATTTGCATTTAATCCGAGAATTAGTGGATTTGATTGCTTTGAATGGCAAACAGTCTGTCGTTTGTATCACACAATCAAATGACTTACAATTGGCTGAAGAATACATCAGTGGTTCCAGTGATACAGAAATGTGCGGCAAATCCGATGACAATAATCGGCGGAAAAGGGTTCACAAGACGTGCGCAACTGATTCACAAGTCTTTGATAAGACTTTTAATAACGATATAAAAGTTACTAAACTCGAGGTCCAGACACCACTCACGAGTGATGAGACACCCAGTGGTCGATATCTATGCGATCAGAATGTGGGGAAAGGGAGGTATACTTGCGGTAGGAATGGGTGTCGCAAACGGTTCCCAGATTTAAGACAACTAAATGACCACAAACTCAGTCATGACATCAAAACTTACGGCAAATCCAATAGTGATTACAAAAAGTGCGACAAATCTAACGACTCAGCCGTCAGTCCACAGACGCGACACAAATGCAGTGAAAGACAGGACTCGAGAGGAAGTCATAAGACTTTGAACGAAACAAACGATATGATAAGGGATGACACGAGTGGACAGTATATCTGCGATAGGATGGAATGTGAGCAGAGGTTTACCACTAATTGGCGTTTAATTGAACACAAACTCATCCATAATGTGGACACAAATGTCACTCAAACTCAACACTCAGTGGTTGACCACAAGAATGATAAGCCTATGGAACAGATAGTCATCGCAACCACAAGCGAGTCAAAGGGAACGGGAGGACAGTATGCGTGCGATTGGAAAGGCTGTGGCCGACGACGGTTCCCATCGTTGACACAACTAAATGACCACAAAATCATTCATTCAATCGTCAAAATTGACGGCAAATTCAATTGCGATTACAAAGACTGCAGCAAATCCTACGCCAAACGCAAAGCCCTTCAACAGCACCGGATGTCTCATAAGAAACGGATCTTTTTCTGCGATCACCCGAACTGTTCCAAACACTTCGCCCAATACTCAGGACTATATATGCATAAAAAGTCCGGTAAACACGTGTTGGGAGAGCCCTACCTGTGCGCTCATAAGGGGTGCGTTTACACGACGCCATCGAAAGAGGATTTAGTGAAACACATGTCAGACACAGACAGACATACGGGTGATCCGACGCTCGACACCGAAAGCGGACGGTATGTCTGCGATTGGATCGTCTGTCAGAAGAGTTTTACCCTTAGATTCAGTCTAAAAGAGCACAAAAAGAGTCACAACCCTTCGCTAAACTACCGGTGCGATTGGGAGGACTGTTCGCAGAGGTTCAATACCCCCAAACATGTTAAAGAGCATAAACACATGATTCACTCGACGACCTACCAGTGCGATTGGGACGGGTGTGTGTTCGCGACGGGTAGGCAATCGTATCTGAGAGTACATCAAGTGATGCACTCAAAGGACAGTCATATAAAGTGTGGGATCGATGGCTGCCAACAGTTATGTAGAGTTAATACTTTGACTCGACATCCCGACGCCTTTCCGGACATACCGTGGATGGAGTGCTCGCATACTGGCTGTCAGTATAGGACAAAAAACAAGTATACATTCAAAACACATGAGTTGTCGCACACGAAGCCAGTCCTATGTGACGAATGCGGGCATACCTTCTCAACAGAGAAACACCTTAAGCGCCACCACTCGACACACGACCCCTCCCTTAGAGTCGAGTGCCTATGGCCCGGATGTGACCAAACCTTTAATACTAAAACTCATATGAAAATACATATGAATACACACACGCGAGAGACTGTCTACACTTAAGCGCCACCACTCGACACACGACCCCTCCCTTAGAGTCGAGTGCCTATGGCCCGGATGTGACCAAACCTTTAATACTAAAACTCATATGAAAATACATATGAATACACACACGCGAGAGACTGTCTACCGGTGCCATTGGCCCGGCTGTGAGAAGTCATTCGTATGGGAGAAGAGTCTTAACGATCACGAGAAGAGACACAGAGGTATACCTGTCGGTAGGTTTCGGTGCACTCACTGCGAGTACAGGTCTTCCCACGAGTCCGCTGTTAAGAGGCATATGGATAGCAATCATGGGATGGCATCGGAAGTCGTGTCCAAACGTACGACAAATGAATGCAATCTTATGGACAGACGTGTGAAGAGACCGAAGAAGTGATTGGTTTATGAAATGTCGCATAAATTGTTTTTTATTTGTATTAATCATTATTTAATATAAAAATTGTTATTTATGTTAATTTTGATTGAAATTAAACTTTTGATTTGAAATCAGATTTTTTTGAGCAGTTTTAGATTATTTACTCAAACATTTAGACTATTCATTGATATTTTGTATTAAAATTAGAAATTATTAGTATTAAATAAAAATAAATGTGAATAAACAATGTTATTGGTACTAATAGTTAAGTGTATGTTTAAATGTTTAATTAATTGTTTATTTTTTCAAAGTCATCAATTTGTATATTAATAATTTTTACAAGTTTATATTACTAGTATTGTGTACTTTTCGTAAAATTATTGATTTTATATTAGGTCGTATAGAAATGTTGGTCCCGGCTATAATTTAAATATCTCTGGAATGGTTTAATATTTTCAAAAGCGGTTTGTTTTATTGAATAGCCTAATAA